CAAAATAATATTTTAACTACATATTATGACAAGTACATGTATCTGAAAAAAAAATTATAATAAACTAAAAATAAAAGTTATTATTTTAAAATTTTTATATGATATGAAATATTATATAATATGTTACGTGGGAGTATAATAAATTATAATTTTACCATTTTTACAATATTGATATAGTTCAAACACAAATTAAAATTTTAGTTAAGACATTCTAGAATTATTATACATATAGTCTTAAACTCATTAATTACCCTTATTGGTTCACTAATGAATGAATAAATACTGGAAAAAACTCAAGTGCTAAAACTTTTTTTTAGTGAGTTCTGTTATCTATAATATTAATGGGTTTCAAGTACATTAAAGATTTATTTTCGATCACTTGGTACGCCTAAATATCCTATTAATTCATTTATCCTAAATGAATTACGAAATTACCTACTTAAACCATAAAGTAGCGTCATGTTTTATTTAATTAACTGTATGCTAGCTGTTATATTTTTAAATGTGATTCGTATGAATTTCAGTAATATATTTAACTTCGGTTCCTAAAAAATGTGTAACTGAGAGACATAAAGTATGATATATTTTGAAATTTGAGTTAAATAACCCTGTTTTAAAATTTATAAAGATATTAATTATACCGTTTATTTATTTAAATGTATGATAAAATCTTATCTTAAGGAATTCATTAAAATTTAAATATAGAAATAATTACAAAAAAATTTTAAAAAAAAGATACCAAAAACAACTTGTTATTTTTTTGAGCTGCATTATTTTAATTAAATTTTTATGTGCCATATTACTCTAAAACCTTTAAAAATATTTCTTCAATCGTTAAGAATGATTTATCTACTTAATATTTCATAAATTCTAAGAAATAAAATTTCATTAAAATAAAATAATTAATCAATTTAAAAGGGTTTAAGCTTGATGAAAAGTTGATATTTGTTTAACAAATATCAAGTATAAAGTATTTTCTTTGAATTAGTTTCATAACATTATAATGGAATAAAGTTGCGGAAATACCCTTTTGTTGTGTTAATCGATACGATGGCGTTAAGTATTGTGTATCTTTTTTCTTTATAAATTGACCAATTCAGATTAAACTTTTCTATTATTATGAAATTTTATTGTTAATTGTTTTAAAACAAAGGATGAAATATTATGAATCAATAATTCATGAAAATAATATTCTTAACCCATTAAAGTGCTTTTATTTGATAAGTATGATATTATTAATGAGCAGAATAAGTGATTGATTTTTGGATTGCTATTAGAGTATTTTATTGCAGACTATAGTAATAATTTTAATGGCGTCACAATGAAACTAGTACAAAGTATGTAATGATTTAATGTATTGTATTAATTTCAATTGTAGACACAATAATTTTACTCGTTATGTTTCTGGTACATCTTGTATTGTTTTTGAAAATTATAATTACTATTTCTAAAAAAATTACTATTCATTTGAGTAACTGAATTTAGTATGTCACGATTTGCTTTATGACTTGATTAGGCATATTAGATTTTTTACAATCCAATCAGACAGATTCGTTTTTTTTTATTCCTACACCTTCTTTAGTTCGGCGATATTACAGACTGATTTTATATACATGTGGTTCAGATCGCTTTAGATTTTTTACACGCTTTAAGTGTTAATATAACCAAAGATAACACCAGCTACTATGGTAGGTTAGTGATACCGTTAAAAAGTATTATTAAATTTGTCGATTGGGAAGATGAAATAAATAAAAATATTTGCACTTTCTTTCTAGTTTCTCTTGATACACAACATGACCACACCTACTTTGATTGGTATTTCTGTTTTTAGACGAATTCTATACGGTCTCAATAGTAATGTAGACTATAAATAATAATAATATTATTTTTTATGTCATAGATCATTAATGGCCACCTTAATTTCAACCTAAGTTAAATGTTCAAAGTTAATGCTTGAGGATAAAATGACACTATAACATATTCGACCGATTCAATTTAAGGTAGTGTGTAGGTAGGCATATAGTAAATCCATGATTTATGAATGTAGGAAGTTAAGTCTTTTTCTGCCTGCCTACATCCTTTATAAAAATGTGTAACTTATTGTGCAAATTCCCTTCTGTTCACACTGTTTTGAGAAAGTTACTCATTTTATAATTGATTCATACTAAACCGCGTAATAATGTAACATATTGTTTACATAACAATAACACAATTGTTTTTAATTAATCATATTTTTGTCAATTGTATGATTTTGTATCAATATTTATAAGTTAAAACGTATGTATCTACATATTTTTTTAGATGAATGTAAGTCAATTTGACATTGGAAACAAATTAAATTTCATTTCAAATCAAAATCTATATCAAATTTGTTCACTTTTCTTCGATTTTATATTTTTTAACACACATTAACGGATGAATTTTTATGTTTTTCTAAAAGTTTAAACTTTTATTGATCTGTTTTATTAAGTGTTTAAACATTTAATGTTAACATCTATATTCTACGACTGTTTACCGTTTGTTACAATTCTATTTTAGACGCTAATATAGTGTAATTCTTTAAAATATTTCTAAAAAATCTTGTATATGATATGGTAATAGTGTTCTCCCGTACAAACTTACGCCAGCGGTAGAGAAAATCAGTATTTTTTTATCATCTTGTAGTTAGTTGTTGTAATGTTTTCTGCATACATCGGCCTGTGTAAAGATAGAAAGTAATTGATCGTCAAGTACTTTGCAAAATCGTTGTTCATTTATTAATTATTTTTCTACTTTAAGTCATATATCGTGTTTAAAAACTGTTCATTCTTCATTGCGTAAATACACTGCCTCATGACTTCAATGGCAGTCTCTATTAATAACCGGTTTGCGCTTCTTGATTTTTAATAATTCTTAACTGTTCACATCTTTTAGTTGTTACTTAACGAATTGAGAAACATTGGATTTGTGTATACAAGTTATGTGAAGTATGTGAACGATAATGGAACCGAATCTAAAAAGCTTGAATATAATTTTGATCGTCAATATTTCCATAAGAAAAGAACCAAACACTTTTCTATGTATCTAGCAACACTGTCAATACTTATTAATACAATATTTTAATAAATTCCAAATGGCTGGCAAAGTCTCGAAAGTCGATCGATATTTGCATGAAGAAAACACCCTTTTTAATATTTTATGTTTTCTATCTCATTTCCTCGCAGACATGGTGCATTTGACATTTTATTGACAAAAGAATTTAATAATAATAGAAACGTTTTAACATGGTTCATTTTCATTTTGGATATTATTAATAATGACTCGCTATTGATGTTTTTTACTTGCAAAATACCTGAAAAACTCAATTTGATATATGAGTAAGGGACCGACGTATTTATAATTTATAAAATAAATGAAAAAAAACTGTTTAGAATTTAAAACAAACACCATCATAAAATAAGGTTTTAATTAAAATTCATACGTGTAAACTCGATATTTTTAATTTAATTTTATTGATTGCCAATTTTTTAATTTTTTCTTGAAAACTAAAAATACAGGGTATAAACCATAAACACCAAAAAGACTGAATATTTTTTTAGAATTATTCAAGCTAAAAAAATTTTTATTAGACGTTTGGCGTATAAAAATTAGATAATTAAATATAAAGGCAAAAGTGTACAGTGTTCTCTACAAAATCTGATATATTTTAATTTTCCATGTATTAAAAATCTTGAAATATTTTTGTTACAAGGAATAGATTATAATTATAATTTTTTTAATTTTCATAAACATCTATGTACCCCATGGTCATAGTTAAATTAAATTTTACTTAATACTGTGTTGAGGTAATAAAAACCAACGTAAATGTCGTATATTAATAAAATATGTACACAAATATCAAATTTGGAAAAACTTATATTTTATTTATGATATACTTTTAGCACGCTAATTAATTTGTTATACACAACTAAATTACAGAATCGAACTAGTTAAAAAATAATAATTTTTTTTTTTATAAATATTTACACGTTTTTTCCCATTAATGTTAATTTTGAATAACTTGATAAATTTAAATTTATTTAATTGGTGATTCATGCTTAAGTAATAATTTTAAAAAAATCTGTTGATACTAGTATTTTATTTAAATACTTCATGAATATTAATAATTTAACCTATTTTGTTGGCAATACACTATTTGAGCCAATCGTTGTTTACAACATTTGTATATGAATTTATGCTATTATCGTCGTTTAGATAAATTACTTATTATACATTTTTATATAAAATACGAGGGTTGTTTAGAAAGTAAGATTAAAGTTATTTCTTTATAAGGTTCAATAAATTAGTACTATTAAATGCGTACTCTCCAGTTGCGGAATTATGAGGGTCCAGACCTCCTGGACCCTTTCCAGACATCTATAATTTTACATTATTTAATATTTAGGGTAACAATGATAAGTATTTTAAGTAAATTTTGTTCTTTAGAACTCCACAGAAATGTCGAAAATCCGTCACTAGAATAGTATCTAACTTTTAATAGATTATTTTAATCATTTTGGCATTAAAGACATAATTTTGTCTACTGTATTTAATATAATGTAAACGTTATCAAGGTATTCATGTAGCAAAGATTTTACTTACAGAGAAAAAATTTTAATATGTAACTAAAATTCAGTGTTCCAAACTAATTTAATATTAAGTATCCGGTATTTAAAATTTTAAATATCAATATCATTCATTTATTTATGATCTTAACTTTTTTTAAAACTAGTTTTTAATTTTTGATTTTTTTTTTATTTCCTTGCATTTGTTCTTCTTTCATTAAAATTAATCATGTTTACAATAAACTGAAATTTTTTTTCTAAAATTTTAAAGATTAGTACGATTATATTACCAGTTCTCTTATTAAATAGTGATAAATAATAATAAATTTATTTAATTTATGATAATGTTTTATTAAAAAATAATTTTGATTATCATATTTTAAAATTTTTCGCTTTTATGCACAAATTCTTCAATACCTTTTTACACTTTTGAAGTAGAATTTATTTTTTCAAAATTTAATCAAGTTTGTGACATTGATGAACTTGAAAAACTCGTTTGATATCATTGTGGTTGTATAGGTGAAGTTTGTTTTGGTTACGAAATATTTTTAGATTAAATCTTATAATTAAATAGCTATTTTAATTAAAATAATTTTGTATTGTACGTGTAAAAATGTGATTAGTGTAAATTACAAAATGTTGTAGAAATCAAAATTTATAAAATTTAATACATTGAACGCCATTAAATCAATGTTGGTTTAGAGTAGACCAATATCAAAAAAGTATGGGTTTATATAACGATATCATTTTTGGAGTAAAAAATTAGGTATAGGTCCTAATAAAAATGTATTATTCTTTGTGTGGCCACCAATTTATGTAAAAGTTTTATCTTTGCCATTATGTTAAAACATAATAAATTATCCTAAATTTTAGCTGATAAAATTTTTTGAGACTGGAGTATAGATCAAATTCTTAGGTCAAAAGTAAGTTTTCTATCAATTAAAACAAAAACTCATTTTGAGTTAATCATCACATACTTATATAGAAATAACACTTTATTAAAATATTATTCGATGGACGTGACTATGATCAAAAATAATTCAATTTAAAACGTCTTGGAATAGAATTATTAGGGTACGTTCAGAATTTTATGAAAATCTTTTAACTTTCGGGAAAATGATCCTGACTATTTTTTATTTAAATAGTTAATAAACATGAGTTGGGAAATTTAGTTTAATGCATCAGACATTTTTTTTAAGAAATTGCTATGTTAAAAAATGTCAAGTTATGTAACCGTCACCGATTGTGTTTTGTCTGAAAATGTTTCTAGAAAATCCTGTTTTATTAACTTTCGGTTGTATTACTGATGAAAATTGTCTTATAAGTGTAATAATGTCGACATAAATGAAGAAATAGACTTAAAGTAGCCTTAAGATATTGCTTATAATTAAGATATTGATAGTGACAACAATTACAATTGCAATGGTGATATGACACTGAGCCTGTAGTAATGTGGACCACGAGAGTCGTTCGGTTTGCTTCGCCGCCAGTCGTTTCTCACTTTGGCGGGATAGGGTAGCGACGGTTGTCTAATATTTTGAGCAGGGACGGGGGGAGGTCAACCGATCTGTTTCATCGATTCGCGTTCTCATGTGTAGTGTGCCTCGCTGGGTGGTAACTGGTGAGCCCGTCTGGGTGGGGATAGTCCGTCGGTTTCTCTCGCGGTCCGTCGACCGTGGTACTGGCAATGGCAGTGGTGGGGATTTACGGCAGGGAAAGACTAGCAGCGCGGCGATCGTACAGCGTTCCTTTTCGTACCCAATCCATTCGTCAGATTGTGTTTGTGCCATTGGGCGTATGGCTTGTTGTGTACGTTCGCTAAAATAATTATTGTTTTTCTTTGTATTTTTCGATATATTTTTCATTTTGTCGTTGCCTGTTCGCACAAATAATATTTATAGTTAAGTCGGTGAAGTTCATTGCAATTTTCGTTTACTAATGTTTTTAGTTTTATCCTAATAGGAAAATTGACCAAATTTTTACTCGTTCGACCAGTCGAATCGTGTCCTAAGTAACGTAATCATAGTAGTTCAAATATTTATTATTAAATTTATTTTCGTTACCGACGTTAGTGCTCGCCAATAGTTCATTGTCTTTGTGCGCGCCAGTGTTTTATTTCGGTTGTTTTTTTTTTTAATTTCAAAAGACTACCAAACGCACACATCGATACGTACGTAGTCCCGTAGCATGTTAAACCGTCGGCCGTACGCTCTTTTACATTTGTGATAAACACGGGTATTATAACGGCCTCAAGCTGTGGGCTGCAACGCCGTATTTGATTCCCCATCAGGGGCTTTACTATCCTGTGAGTACCTTATCATATAATTACAAAGGTTATCATTGTTTTTGTCATAAGATAGCGGTAGGATGACTAATTTTCATCAAATGGACAGCTGATATAAATCATCATATTAACATGTATCACATATCTTCGTTACTATTTCTTATTTGCTACGTTTGATATCGTTTGCTTTGGGTAGGTGTTTAATTTTTAACCGCCGCGCAGAAAGCTAATGTGTCTCACTCTTAACACCGAAACATACGAGACGCGCCCAAATCATTTCTCAAGAGTTACCGCGGTTTGACCAAAAAAATGACCGACGTACTTTACATTGACCTTACCAATGATGATGTGAATTACGCATACATGTTTTCTATCGTAAACTCGCACATGTAAGAAATACGTTCGATATTTCGTCTTATCTAGTCTTTTATTGTTAAAACAATATTAATCTATGCGCCATTCCACTATTATTATTATTCCTCCTTGGGGTGATTGTGGTACAAAAGTTAATTATCGCACTAGAAAAAATTACCTTAGTGTCAAACGAGTTTCGTTACACACGAGTTTACTGCTATTTTTTAGTACTACTATCAAGTTGTCTCTCGTACCGTACTAGTTTTACGAAATACGCCTCTCTCTCATCTATGTCATGTCTATGTACGAAAGAAAAACTTTTATTGACTTTAAAATTGCCGCCACCGCAATGATATGAACTGTCGTTTTTTACACTAAACCAACAAAAATTACACTTAATTTTCTTCACTAGTGTTTTACGTAATTTATTCTATTGTTTTTTTTTTTTGTACACAAATCACTGTAATTAACGATCACATTCCAGCAAGGCAAATAATATACATGTATTGTCTGAATGCATTAACAATTTAAACATTTACATTCGTAATTACTACAACGATTATGGATTTTTATGACTTTCCAAATATTCTACTAAACCATCGTTATTAGGGTAAAAACGGTGTACATTCACCAATTCGAACAGGTAATACAATCCACAAATGTGAAATGTTAATTAACTATACTGGTGTACAGTGACGGGGTCAGTTTTAGGTTACAAAATATACAATATCGAATTTTTCGAGCACGAACGGCGTAACAATTGGTCTAGTGGGCAGTTTAATTTTGGGTAGTTATTATTAATTAAAAAACATTAACCGGCGACATTTTATAGTGTAGTTGCTATGGCATTAATCAATTTTCAGCGTTTCTCGGGACGTTTCTCTCCCTTGCTGGTGCAAGGGAAATGTCGGTAGGGCGTTTTCTTTATCATTACGTCCGTAGTTTGCATAATGGAAACGTGCGACTTGGTTATCACACGCAATGTTACGTGAAAAATGAAAAATACACTCGTCCAACGTAACACCGAAATGACAATAAAAAAACACTGTTGTTAAAGTTAATTGTATCACTGATGACATTAAGTAAAGACCGTGTCATTGTAGTAATTAAGTACTGTGGCTGGTCTAATTAATGGTGTTGTCGATTTCCATGTGGTGAATTTTACATAAGGCGTTTGTTTTATCATTTAACTTTGTTTGAAGTTTCTTCAAAGTTTTGATTTCCTGACGTCAGTTTCTTAGTCAGTTCTTAAGAGATTTTCGGTTATATTTTCGAGTGCATGATAAACCGAGTGCCGCCGAATAAACTGCTTTTGGTTAAAGTTAACATTTGATCTGCTTTACGACTAATGTTACTTTCTTAGCTTCATGTTTTTGGCTTTGATGTCGTAAGTTGTTAACAAAATTCAATGACTCGCACAAGTTTCAATTTTAAAGTTTGTCGTATTCGCATTAATCATAATTGTTTTCCGAATCAGATTAAATACTTCAGGTAGGTTGTCCACGACAATTAAACGTCTGTGTTTTGTACTTGGCACGAAAATTCAATGTGTAATGTACACTCATTAATGTGTTCAATTATCCATTGGTGATTGTTTGATTTGTTATTTTTTATGTACGTCGGTAATCAGCGAATTTATTACTCGTTTGGACTTGCACAACACAACACTTGCTTGATGTTGGTTGATGTCCATTGTAAAGAATTGCTAACTGCGTTTAGGGAGTGATGGACCAGAGCCAGGTTATTATAATTTCTTTGAACACGTGTTCCATGCCGGATATTCTAACTTGTGTTTATTCCAAAAACATTCCGTAGACGCGTTCAATGTAACAGCAACGACGACTTACGGTAATCCACCAAAGTCTATACTAAAAAAATCACTTGATGTACGGTTTTCATTCGGTTAATTTCCATCATAAAAATTATCGCCCCATGAAGGACATTGTATTTTCCCATCATTTCCACTTAATTATTAAACACGTCGCTTAAAATGCACGTAGTGCTGCTGCGTGCTTGACAAACGCTATTAGTAAAATTTATTGTTGCCGTGTAATATTATAATAGTTTTGATTACTATCGTTCGTTGGCTGATCGTGCGTACCTTTTTTTATTATCTCAAGTCACCTTCGTTGATTTGGTAATTATTCGGTAGGAAATGTTGTTTACGTTTTACTAATTGTTAATCCGTTTATGTACAAAATCTTTGATATAATAATATATAAACGTCGTTGAAGAACGAGACGTGCAAGGAAAACCATATTTATTGAATCTTTTTACAAACCATTACCACCATGTCGTGAATTGTCAGAATGAATCTTCGGCATTGTGTTCTTTTTAAAAGCTTTGTTGCTATTTTATGAGGAATTTCCTCATTGGTAACGTCAACAATGAAGTGTAATGTTACATTTATTGGTTGAAAAACGAACCGTAGGTCTTCCTCTTGTTGATCAATTTAACAAAAGCACATTACCAATGAAATGCAATATCAATTACTGTTAATTCTGTCCGAACTGACTTTGTATTATTTGTCTGTTTATAGTTTGAAAATAATAACTTTCGTGATTTATTTAATATTATTTATGAACAAAAATTTCTGTTTTTCAATATTAATTGTTTATATAGAATTGGACGCATCATACTATCACTTGTATGTAATTTTTCATCGTCAACTAAACAAATTATTATATCAAGGATTTGAAAATACGTTTGTCTCAAAGGTGTTAAATATCGAAGGAAATCATTATTCTATAATTTATAGATTGTGTACGAGTTCAGTTGGCGATATACGTTTGTAATATTAGTTATTCGTGTTATTGTTTTTCTCTATTTTAAGAGCGTGTCTCATTCAAACTATTTCTCTATTTATCCGTTTACGGTCGAGGAGGTCGACCGATAGAACACATGTCGGGGGGCCGTATATAGTAATTTATTTATCCTGTCTGTGTAGTGTTGTTGTGTGTATGACGGCGATGAGCACAGGGGCGGCTCCGCTCACATCTGTTGGTTTGTCGAGGAAACAGACACACGAAGGCGGTGGCAACGATGTCGATGAGAAAATGTCATTAAAACACACACAAACTAACATACTATTTAGTTATCTCATAACATTGATTTTCCACTAAAGCATTGGACACCATTGTCGCTCTCTTTTAAAATAATGTTGTAAATGTATTTTTTCTTTTAACGTTTCATTTGCGATCGATGTAATTCAACGACGCCTTTCCCAAAAAGCTTCTGATCTGTACTCGGGGCAACACTGTAAATTATTGTCAATAACGGGGTGCGTGCGTATATAGAAAAAAAAAAAAAACTTATAAAAGTCTCTTGCTGACTTGTAAAATTTACAGTGAAAAAAGTAAATCGACGGACCGCGTTTTAGTACTTTAGCAGTACTGACTACGCTAACGTGTAATAAACGGCCTAACGTCTGTCATTCGGCGTCCACCATCTGTTTTATACTGTTGGTGTTTTCATGAGCAGATTCTCCGGTTAAAAATTCACCGTAGGAAAACTGAATTCTTTTCAAGAAACGCTGTTGTTGTGTTGTACGAATTCGTTATGGTCCGCACAGAGCTCTACTAGTATGTGCGGACTATTCGTGAAAACGACCTCGGGGTGCGGTCGTCTTCTCAACAGTCTACTATTATTGTGACTTTAATTGTTTATTGTCGTTCTAATTAATGTTGTTTCTGAAAATAATAGTTCAATTTTGAAACGCGTTAGATTATTTCGTCTAAGCCATTCCCGACAGAGACAAATGCACTATGCATTGTTCCGTAGCAAATGCCTTTTTTAATCTCCGGCATTCCATTTATAATTACGCGAGTTTCGGCTGATAGCTGATCTACATTATAAAATTATTATAATTTATCTGCCTCTTCGCGCGTCCCGCATGTTTTTGTTCTTCTTATACTGTGCGGCGCCCACATCACATGTGATCGCGAACACGACCTTGATGCACCCGAACAATATTTGTAGTTATGAAACGCCTTTTACTATGACAACTATTAATGAAGTAGTAACAACGGCAGTTGCGAAGAATTTCCTAGTAATTAGTTTATTGGATCGCTTTTCCCCCCCCCCCCCCCCCCAACCCC